ATAACAGTATACAGTAATAATAGTTATATGGATGTTATCTTTGTCAGTCTCTCAAAATATCTTATTATACTGCACTCACTCTTCTTGTGATTATGTGAGAAAATACAATGCCTACATGATGAGATGAAGTGAAGTGACTGATGGGATGATTCACATCCAGGGTGAGAGAGAGTGGGACAGTGTGAAATTTCATCACGATATTTATAATGGTGTATGATTTAAGACTTATGAATTATTTACTTCTGGAAATTTCCATTTTCTACTTTTGAACTGCTGTTGATTACAAGTAACTGAAACGATAGAATGTAAAACAGCAGGTCATGGAAGACACTTGCTTTTTTGAAATTGATTTTACTATATGTTACTATAAAATAATACCATTAATGTTTGACTAGTACCACTGATGGTATGAAACATAAAGCTTTTGTGATCCTGGCTACAGGTCCTATCAGGGAAGATTCAGAATGCAAGAGCATGTAGGCAGCTACTGCTTGGTATATAGAAACAGCCAAAAAAGCATGATCCTTTCTAGCAAAAGTTTGGGACACAAATAAACTTGTTTCAACAGGCTGGTTAAGTCCCATGACTTTAGCAAAATCTTGGTAAAATTTATATGGGACCCTGTTCATTTGGTTGATTTTTCTAATCATTCAGCGGTTTTTCACAGTTTAGTTTCATTGTATAGAAAATCATTCTATTGTGTGTATATAAAAACCAGAACATGCAGCTTTGTAGTCTTATCCAGACAGAAGGAATTTTAATGTGTATGTAAAAGTCACAGGATTTACTGTTAGTGGAAGCAGCCTTTGAGTATTTACTTTATCACTTGTTAGCATTCTGTGACCTTGGGAAAAACTTTTGAGATTTCTGTGATTAAAAGCTTGGGCAGTGAGTTCAAGCTGTTAGCTTTCAAAACCTGACTCTACCACTTGCTGGCTATGTGGCTTTGGGAAAATTATAAAGCCTCAATTTTTTCTCTGTAGTATTTGTACAGCTTTTCTATAAGTCTAAATTATTATACATAAAAGTTAAAAATTACATCTTTTTTAAAAAATAGAGGGCCAAGGTACATATAAAAGGAACTGTCACATTATCAGATTGTTTTCTGCACTCAGCCCTGGTAAAACATGCTGTCTTCAACTTTATTTAGTTGGAAAGAGAAAAAGTTCTAAAGTTGGGTTTCTTTTCATGGAGGAATCCTAACTTTGCTATGTATTGTTCAAACTGAAAAGAAACTTGGTACTTAATTTCATACGTCACTAAGTAATTGAAAGAAATTAGATTTCTAGTAAAATTAAAATCTGCTTCAAGTTTTTAATTAGCAGTACACTCAATGGTCAGGAACAAAGAGTTTTACTTTTAATTTTATGATCACCTGTGATCATCAAGCCATTTTTCAGATATAGAAAACCCCTAGTTTTCACAAGGACCATTACATAAAGAGGTGGGCAAGAGTGTGTATGTGTTTGCTGCCTTCTCTTTCAAGTTTGTTCAGTTTTCCTTGAAATATAAAAAGAGCCTTTCCCCTCAAATCTGAACACCTAAAGAATTATTGACAAGAAAAGTTTTGGGTTTTTAAAAAACAATTTCAAACTATTAAGGGGTACAGATGTTTTTGTTACGAGCCTTAAGTCAGGGCCATAAATGCACCCATCAACCAAATAGTGCTCATTGTATCCATTAGGTAGGTTTTTGCTCCTCTGTTCCTGCCCCCAACCCCCACTTGATTTCCAATGACTTTTACTTCTTCTGTGCACTTGTGTGCCCATCAGTTAGTTCCAATTTATTGGAGTGTACAGGTGCTGTTTGTTTTCCCATTCTTGACATATTTCACTTAAGATAATGGTATCCAGTTCCTTCCAAATGGCTATAATTCATCCTTTTTATGGCTGAGTAGTACTCCATGGTATAGATATACCACATTTTGTTGATTCATTCATGAATTGATGGGCACTTGGGTTGATTCCACATCCTTGCAATTGTGCATTGTATTGCAATAAACATTTGACTTTAGGTGTCTTTTTGATAAAATGACTTCTTTACCTTTGGTAGATATGCAGTAGTGGGACTGCTGCACTGAATGATAGGTCTACTTTTAGTTCTTTGAGGAATCTCCATACTGTTTTCCTTAGAGGTTGTACTAATTTTCAGTCCCACCAATAGTGTATATGAACAGTATATAAATATTTCTTTCTCTCTGCATCCGCACCAGCATCCATTGTTTTGGGGATTTTTAATAAAAGCCATTCTCACGGGAGTAAGGCGATATCTCATTGTGGTTTTAATTTGCATTTCTCTGATAATTAGTTATGTGTTTGTTGGCCATTTGTCTGCCTTGTTTTGAAAAACTTCTGTTCATGTTTTTTGCTTACTTTTTAATGGGGTTGTTAGTTTATTTCCTACTAATTTGTTTGAGTTCTTTGTAGATTCTGGCTATTAGCCCTTTATAGAAGGTGTAGATTGCAAATGTTCTCTCCTATCTTGTAGGTTGTCTGTTTGGTCTGTTGATTATTTTCATAGCTGTGCAGAAGTTTTAAATTTAATCAAGTCCCATGTATTTATTTTTGTTGTTACTGTAATTGCTAATGGGGTCTTAGTCATAAATTCTTTGCCTAGGCTGATATCTAGAAGTTTTTCTTCCATTTTATTCTAGAATTCTTATGGTTTTATGCCTTACATTTAAGTCTTTTATCCATCTTGAATTAATTTTTGTGAATGGTGAGAAATAAGGGTCCTATTTCATTCTTCTGCATGTGGCTATCGAATTTCCCCAGCACCATTTATTGAATAAGACTTCTTTCCCCCAATGTGTAGTGTCGTGTGCTTTGTCAAAGATCAGCTGGCTGCATGTAGATGGTTTTATATCTGGGTCCTCTGTTCTGTTCCATTGGTATATGTCTCTATTTTTGTACCAATACCATGCTGTGTTTTTTTTTTACTACAGCCTTGTAGTGTAGTTTGAACTCTGGTAATGTGAAGCCTCCAGCTTTGTGCTTTTTAGTTGGTATTCCTTTGGCTGCTTGGGCTCTTTTCTGGTTCCAAATGACGCATAGAATTATTTTTTCTAGGTCTTTGAAATATGCTATTGGTATTTTTTTTTTTTGAGACAGAGT